GGGGGTCTGGGGTGTGGAAAGGATGGAGCCACTGGAAGCCCTGTCCTTCCTCAGAGACATGCACATGTCGACAACACTTCAGTGAGCCAGGATCATAGAATGGTTAGGGTTGGAAGGGACCTTAAAGATCATCTAGTTCCAACCAGGATGTGCCTTCCGTCCCCTGCATACGATGACTAGACTATGATTCCTCTTAGCTGCCCATTATAATCAAGGAAGAACTAAAGGTTTTCAGCCTGAGTTGGATGCTGTTATAGAAAGAGAGTCCAGAATTAATAGCATTGCTGCTGAGTTCTCACAAGATTTGAAAACAGGTTTGAAACATTTATTTTATCTATGTGTTTGAAAATTCATCACTTCTTTTTCTGGATGCTATTTAAGGGCTGGGAGGCTCTGATGTGGTTTTATTGTTTAAAAGTTGCATTGGAAAGCTGATGTTTAAAACAGATCTGTGCCATTCAGAGCCCTGCAGCTGCTTGAGACGGGTATGAAAGAGCTGAACTGCCAGATGGTGAGCACTCAGACTAGCTTCAGGTGCTGGAGAAAATCTAACACGCTCTCAGTGTTATTTAAAGTGAAATTAAAAACAGCAGCAGAAAAATCACCCTCCAGGTTTTGATTTTACTGCACCATTTCTCCGTGGGCGGATCAGAGACCAATCCAGTCTCCTCTGGAGGTGGTCTTAAGCCTTTCCACTGGCTTAGTTGTCTTTTTAACCAGGTGCTGAAGTGTCCTTGAGCATCCATCCTTTGGAGCACTGCAAGGTGAAACTCATCACCCCTCTTGCCCTTCTCACTTAGCAGGAGCTTCTCCTCCTTTCCCTGGAGTATCTCCATCATATGTGCTGAGCCCTAGAAAACTCCTTACTGTTTTACAAGTAAATTCCTATATATTGTGCTTTGGCTTCTGATCTTTCAACAAACTTGCTTTGAACAGGTCCTCCTAAGGATCCTATTAGCCCCTTTTTTTGGTAGTCAGCAGCTGGTTGGTTCTTTCACCAAACTTTCTCCTTTTGCCTTCCCAGAAGCAAGTTCTGACTGATTAGCAGGTTATTAAGAAGTTAAAGACAGCTGTTGACTTCTAAATAGCACAGTGTGTAATGACAGGTCAAAATTGCAATTAAATAGCCATTATTTTGGCCCATTGAATATAACTTGAAAATGATAGAGGTGTTTATTTTCTGAAATTCAATAGGACTGAAATTTATTGTTCCTATGGAATTGCGTTAAGTTCCCATGTACAGATTCAGTGGTATGTTAAGGTGGTTCGCCTTAATTTTCCTTCTTTCCAAACCATGTTTCACAAACAAACCTATACAGTCCATCAAACACATTTTGGTTTTGGGAACAACTATTAGGCATGTTTAGAGTTCAGCATAGGGGTAGGGAGAGATACAGGCATATGTCAGGGTGCCAGACTCCTGGATTCCAGACCATCGGTCTCAGAGATTGCAAGGTTTTAGATCTCACTGTCATCATTAGTTAAGTAGATATTAAGTTTTAGCATGGTACATATATTACCACACTTTGTCAAAATGTAACATTTAATCTATACTCACATATTGTAATTAGTGTTCGGGAATAAAAGAACAAGGGAAATACCAAACCCTTAATTAATCCCTATTGTCAGTTATTTACATTTTGTAGTGTGGGTAAGAACTACATTTTTTTTAACAGCTGAGTGGGATCTTATCACAGCTGTTAACATGACATCACTCGCAAATATAAAACTTCTCTCTCAGTAACTGCTTACGAGCATTGTGCTGGTTGAAAATTAAGCCCTGGTGCTCACGGACTGTAATGGGTCTCCAGGCTTCCCCTGTGAGATTAAACAGATCTCTTGGACAGGCCATGAGGGGGTTATGTAATGAAATAAATCTATCAACATTCCTTAAGACAGTGCTACAGAGCATCTCCCGGGCCAGAATCCTCTCTTGTTTTGTACCTCCACTCCTCTATGAAGTCTTCCTCAGGCATATTGCTCAGGTCATTGTGACCGATCCCGTCAAAGAGGCCACACAAACCTCTGGTGCTGTTGAAGTCACTGCCAGGTATCCTCACTGTCAAACCCATTCCCCACTCACTCATGTCGGCTCGAACAAACGCTCCCGAAGGGAACAGGATCTGAAGAGGCAGAAAAAAACAGTGAATTGAAGCTGTTACCAAGCTTTTTATCCAATAAAAAATTACTCTTTCTATAAATGAAAATATCAAAGTGGGGCGTTAGTGATGGCAGTAATTTAAGATCACTTAGATACAATATTAATATTTATTTGTGCTATTATTTAGCTTGCTTTCAGATTCCATGGTACTGGAATCTGGTAGCATTACATAAATATAAAACTGCACAAGTATTTTCTTTTTAAATTAATAATTACATCCATTGAAGTTTTCCCAGCGGTAAGTTACCAGCTAATTTTTGAAGCGACTACCATGACAATAAGGCCACCCTTGTGTCTTTGCCTGGGAAATCATTTCTTTTAGATAAACTGCCAAGTCTGAAAAACAGCTTTTTTCCCTCTGAAAAATCGTTTCATTTTCCAAGGCTGGATTACCCAAAAAATGATTGTGTTTTAAAGTGGATAAAACAATTTTCTCATTAAAGAACTTGTGGTAGGCTTACACTGACCTTTAAAAGAAAAAAAAAAATTGAGGTTAAGACAAAGAAGTAACTGTGTGGATAATGGATTTTTTCAGATTGGTGTCCCAACCAAATAATAAAAGAGAAAAAAAAAATGTTGAACTTAAATATATTTTTTTTGTTTGCTTTATTTTTACAGGTAAAAAGAAAATGATTCTGAAACTGATCTGTGTCAGGAGCGAGAGCAGGAGCACTCTGTCCTCATATGTAAGTTTAGTTTGGGGTTTTTTTTTGATCCAAAATTAAATGTTTTCAGTTAAGCTTAAGCAGTACATTAAATAGTTGAAAAAATCTCATTACAATAATTTAAAAATATTTATTTTCCTTTTTTTAAGTCACCCTTGTCTGTCTAAGTATAATGTATTCAGCTAAATAATGTCCATTGCTTTTCTTTCTTTCAGTGAGGAATTTTTGGTCCCTTATAAGTTCCTCCCCACCAAATCTATTCATATCTGTGAAGGAGCAATAAGCTTATATTTGTATTTCTGTGCTGGACTCCAGAGTTTACATTTTGGCTGCACTAAATAGTAATCTTGCCCATTTTAGTGTCACAGTCATCATTTCAGGCATGAGAATACTTTCTGAGGAGCTCTCCAAGAGTGAGGTCTTCATCCAGCTGAGCGGGGATGCAACGTGGCACTGATTGCAGTAACAGCCAGGGACACTATGTTTTGAACTTAGGCCCTCTGTGTTTTGATCAGGGCATTTAAAGCACCATTTTTTTAAAAAATATTGGCCTTGGTGAATAATGGAAGTAATCATATAAAACCAGTTCTTTGACTACGTCAGGTCTCGGCTGAATCTCCACCTTGGCCGTCCGTACCTACACCTTGGCTATATGTCTTGCTTCCCAAGGTAAGTTTAAAAAATAGAAGAAAAGGTTCCCCAACATAAAGCTCAACTGTCATGATGAGTTAATATTTTCTTGGTGAGGAAAAAGTAGAGCAGAGAAAACCGAGTTGGCACAGTGCTGGGTAGGATTTGATTTCCTTCTTCAGATAAACATGTGCCCCCTAATTACATGCTTTACTACGGGGGAGAGCATTTCATACAAGTCTGTGTATAAAATCCCTGCAGTTGGGACTGCATGAGCTGCTTCAGTCTTCTGTGTTGTCTGGATTAATATTTCCAAGTGTGGATTTGTTTCAGGAATTCAGAGGGCTGTAACCCTTTCTGCTCCTGCTACCCCAGGCCAGGTGTCCCATTTCCACTGAGTGCCTAACCACTGGCCAGGTTTTCTGTAACCCACCTGGACTTAACGCTGCTGATTGAGACTTAGAATAAGCTGCTTTGAGCCCTCAGTTTGCAGGGATATACAGTGACCGGCTACTGGAAGCTGGATCTTGCACAGAAAAGAGAGTGACTTTAACCCCATTCGAAGCACCAACCTGAGCTGGCTCCTGCGCTGCGTGCGGTTGGCGATGGGCAACTCCTGAGCAAATTGGGATGAGCCGTGCACAGTGCTGGGATCAGGGACCTTATTCATTGCTGTACAATTCCTACAGATTCCCATTCAGAGCAGGGCAGGATGCCCCAGAGGTGTCCTAATTTGTTTCACTGAGACTTACACAAGGTGTAAATGAGAATAGGGATTCCTTGCTAAGATTGTTCTGGTAATAAAGCAGTAATTATATTGCATTCAGTTGCAAAATGAAATGACAGCTTGCTTCCTGCTTTTCCTCTATTCTGTAATTAACAGAGTTTCAATTATTACCTTACCAAGATCTATTCCAAGTGAGATCACAGGCACTCCCTGTGCTGTGCCAGCTCTATTGTGGACCGATCTTCATGCAAAATATTTCCTGGCAATAAATCTCAAAGCTACAACTCTAGGATAAAATTATCTTCTTGGCCATAATTTGTGGCTCTTCTCCTCACCAAAACCCCTGGTGCAGCCTGCTCTTATTCTTTCAGTGATTTCACTGCATTAGTTTGGATAAGTATGTTATGGCCATATATATTTTTAGGCAAATATTTTAAATTATACCAAATGTTGCACATTTGCAGCCCATTTTCATGGCTTTTGGGGACTATCTGGATCTGATTCATATTGTTTCACTCTTCCACTCTGAAACTATATTATTCTGCTACCTGTGATCTTCCCTTGAATATTTATATGGTAAGCTCTGCGAAGAAATTTACTTTATGTGATGCGGTTGGGTAGTGCCTAGCATAAACAAACCGAGAGCGCATTGCCGTACTGCAGAGAGTGAGTAACGATATTGGCACTTCGATACGTCTCTGAGAAATTTCCAGAGATATTTGTTTTGTTTTGTTTTACAGTTTGTTAAACTAACACTTTAACCAGCTTCTTCCCTGCATCTCGTTTTTTAGTACATTTTGCTGCAGGCATTCTTATGGCTCCGAATAGATATTTTTGTAACAACTTCATTAATAATTCAGAAATATTAAACTCACATTTTTAAAGAACAACTAGGGTACTCAAACATCCACGTACTGTTATTTTTCTCCCTCCGTAGGACTTGAGGATTTTGACATGCGGCGATGCCTCAGTGCTTTTGACGTCAAGCTGGGGTCTGCTCTCCCGAAAATGGCCATTGCAGGTGTCCAGCACCACGGTGTCGCCCCCCTCTCGCGCTGCTACGCCGCAGTTGCAGGCGGTGGCGGAGCGGTGGCCTCCGCAATCCCACTGCCGAACGTGCACTTCGAACACCCGCGACGCGCTCCCACACAGAAGGAAGGTGCCGATTTTATAGTTATCGTAGCGCCTAAACAGTAGCAGAGCAAAAGGAGGCTTTAGAGACCCAGAGCACCCACCCGTGATGGCTGTTTGGTGGCGCTAGTATGACAGCGCTCCTTAATTAAGCCAGCGTGGTGGCTGGCCTTGAAGGAGGGAAAAATCCACGTGTGGGGAAGTGTTTCTCTGGCACCATAAGCAAAAGAAAGCCATCGCAGTTACTAGCTGGAAATGAGTAAGAATTCATGAGGAAAGCAAGTAGCTGTCTCCCAGCTGCTGCTATGGCAATGGGCATGGATAAAAAGGATAAACATTTGATAAAAAGCAAATGGGAAAAATTGCCTGCCTCCAGGCCTTAAATAAATATGTTTTGGTTCTAACCAGATGCTTTACAGCATGACATTCTTCAAAGCAAAATCAGTGCTCAAATAACCTCTTCTGTGACTAATCACCAACTTTTACAACACTGACTGTGCCTAGGTGAATACTTCATATGAAAAACTGGAATTCTACTGAAAACCTGTTAAAATGAAGTTCGTTCCCCCCTCAACAACTCCACTGCGAGCACAACTTTCACTCCAAATAGATAGCGAGCACAGTGCAGTGTGTTGAACAATTTGAGACTTTCATTCCCTGTACAAAAAGTCCTTGCTCCACCTGAGTGAGGCCATGAGCAGAACAACTTGATTAACTTGGCAGGTGTGTCCCCTCTGCATGAGCCTGCTAAAACTCCTCCCAGCTGCAGCCCTTTGGGTTTCCACAACAGGACATGCAAGAGGATCCTCCTCTACTTCTCTGTTTGCTCACTCCATAAGCTTGTCTTATTCTTACTCTATTTTATGCTAATGTGATGTATAAAAGTAAAGAAAACGGTAGCTGTATACTCTATATATGATGCTGGAGTGTTCTTCTCACCAGCCAACAGATGCCATGTTTAAAAATGATGGTTTATTCTACTTCCTTTTAAGGCACTGCATTTTGCTTTAAATGTGATTTTTGGGAAATTAAATACAATCAAAACCAGGATATAAGTTTATAAAAATGAACATTATTCTTTTCTACAATAAAAAAGAAAATGTAAAAAAAAATTTACAAAAAATTACACAACAGGACTATTTTTAAGTACTGATATACAAACATCGCTATTTTTTCAGTCTCCTAATGTTTCCTATACAGAGGAACAAATGGCTAAATAACCAAGGTCTTTTAGCATGTATAACATGTCTAGTGGAAGGTGTCCCTGTCCATGGCAGGGGGGTTGGGACTAGATGATATTTAAGGTCCCTTCCAACCCAAACCATTCTGTGATTCTATGTATATATCTGTATTTTATTTCTCTTTCGAATAAAAGCCATAGAAAATTATGTAGCTTAAAAAACAGTAAGAATTTAAACTCCAACTGCTTTTCAGCACTAGAAAACACATTTGAGTCTATCTTTCATCTTGAAAAACTTATTGAAGTTGGCCATAAAGCGATAAGATTTTGAATGGCTCTGTCTCATCTTATTTTCTAATCAGGTGCATAAATCCTAAGTACACTGCACAGATGCTGTTGCTGAGATTGATTAGAACTAAGAACAGCATAAAAAATAGATAATCTCTTTTAACATCAAGTACTAGCTCCATTTGGACATTTTCACAGGAGAGTCATAGGAGACAGGATATTTTATGAGAATCACCTTCCACAGTTTCCTTCAACAGGAGGAGCTTAGAAGGAAAGGTGTTTAGAGATCTTGATGGAAAATAATGTATCAGAATGGCTGTACCCAGACTAATCAGCTGTATCTGGTAAATAAGGTTGTATTAGCATATGCATATAAATATCATTGCAGTTATGGGAGCTATTTACTGCTTAATAAGCATTGCCAGTGGACCCAATCCAACTCTCCTGGAAGTCACTTAAACTCCTTCAATTAAGTCATGGCATAGCTTGCATAGCACATAACAAATCTGCAACCTGCCTAAACTGAAGATTTCAGCTGCCTTTGAGTTACTTGAATGGATAATTGAATGTAGTCAGGTAAACTTTTGAGATGTTTATACAACAGTAATTGCGATAATGATTCTTTGGAAAACATCTGAGAAATTGCTTGTGGAGCTAAAAGCAGGAATAGGGTTACTGGAGTTCTTCCAGGAGGGAGCTCTGTATATCCTTTGTGAATCAGGAGCCATTCCTTGTGTCTGAATTGCCCTCCATGGTGCACTTCCCCATCCTCCTGCCCTCATAGTCTGTAGCAAGGGATGTACTAGGTGGAAAGTGTTTCTGTCCCTCCCCATTCATGTGTTTGGGTTGTTTTTCAAGGAGTACAGCAAGTTCTTGTCCCAGCATGTAGTCATGGCTCAAGTCGTGCATTTAATCCAGGAATTATAAAATGCTCATAAGACTTTGGTTATTACAGTGGGGAGCTATAGGAATAATTTCTGTCAGTTTACTATAAAAAAGGGACAGAAGGGAATCTAAATATATGTAAACAATTGCTGCAAGTAGTATTTCATCAACTAACTCAATACACTTACGATTCATCGAGCTATGCTTCATCTTTTTATTAATTCAGTTCTTATTGTGGTTGCTCCTAAAGTTTTTCCACTACAGTTTTGCCACAAAATAATTTGATTTGTTGACATGTCCCTCTAGGCTCCCTCTTTGTTTGCCAGTGCGAACTACTGTGTGCTCGTTGTGACCCCAGGAAGTGCTGGGTGACACTGGAGGTTGTCGTCCAGTTTCAGAGCGCTCATCACTGGGGACTGACTGTTCTCAGGGCACGAAGCTGTTGGGTCATGTTCAGCAGTCACTGGATGCTTGAAGATGTTCTACAAGAATACATGTAGAACTTCTACAGACCATCAGAAGAACAGTACATCTAGGAGGGCTACCCCCGCCCAGAACTTAGTTGTGCGCTCCTATGATGAGTGCCATCAAAACCCATCACAAGCTGATGGATTTTGTCATTGTGCAGGAATTGATGCCGTTCCCTCTGGGATAATATTGATGGATAGGTTTTGTTAGAGAAATATCAAAAATATTTTCTCTTTTTTAAAGATAAAATGCAAAATAATATGAAAGATATATGTAGTTCACCAATCAAGAAATATTTCCCACTTTATGTTTTGCCTTAAAAGGATTTTCTGCATATTAAGTTTTAAGCTAGTACTTCATATTTAAGAATCTACAATTTATGGCATGAAAAGCTTTTATATTTATAATGTGCCATAACTAGTAATGAGAGCTATACTTTTGCTTTACCAGGCTTTCACATTTGTTTAATTTAGAAGGTACTTTGCTATAAAAGGAAGTGCTCTCTCTGGGTTTTAGCTAGTATAATTAATGCTATTTCACATCTATGCTCCAATATACACAAATTGATTGTGCTTACACTGTAAAATATGACACATTCTGCTTTGATTTTCAGTCACTTCCTTTGGTCAAAAGAATGAAAAGATTACAGGAAAAATATTTCTACAGAAATATATTAGCAAGAGGAATACCAAAAGGGGAGTGTTATCATTAGAAGTCAGGTGTTTCCCTTATCTAATGGATAGCTAACTACCTCAGCTGTAATGTGGGCTCAGTGTGTTAGATCAAAATAATTTAAAATATCGCTAAGTTACACAATGAAGTATTATTATGAAATCTTACAAATCAACTATATATTGAAAATGACCATTTCAGTAGGAAAATTTTACTATCAAAAAATATCTTCCAGTCTTTTGATTTACATGTTGTTTTTCAATTTTCCAACAAAACTGCTGAAGAAATTATTAGAAACAGTATTTTAAAATTAAGTTAAATCTTGATGAGTTTTGCTTTTCATTTAAATTTTGGAAATCAAAAAGATTGCAATTTCTATCTTCACGTTTGCTTTCATTCTTGCTTTTCTCCCTTGTGCTAAATTAGGTTAAATTTTGATGAGTTTTGTTTTTCATTTAAATTTTGGAAATCAAAAAGGTTGCAATTTCTGTTTTTGTGTCAGCTTTCATTCTTGCTTTTTCTGCCTTGTGCTTTTTTCCTTTGCTTCACCATTGCTGATGGGGACATTAATAAAGATAAGCAGCTCTGTGAAAGGCAGGAGCATGTTTACGTGCCTGCCCCTTTGTGTAGAAAACATTCCAACCATTTTGCTGTTGGCGGTGTTCCCCATGTTCAGACTTCTCCTTGCTTTTCATGTGACGGCCCTTCAGTGAGCCATCCCCAGGACTCGAGTGGGTGGAAAGGGTACCAAAGAGACAACTGATTGTCACCCACCCATGGCAGCTCTGCCGACAGCGTTTTGGTCTTAGACAGTCTCCTGGTAAGCTGACCTACAGGCTTTGTGGTGGGACAAATGGATTTCCTTGGGTTATATGGTTTGATGGATGCTCTGCTGTTGATCTCTGGTGTGGTTTTGATAGTTTATTAAGCTCTGTTTGCTGCCATCTTTGTAGACATACAGAGTTGGGTAAAGGCTGCTATTTCCTTCAGTTCTCTTTGCCTAATTCTGGATGTTTCCTTTCTTTCCTGTTTTGCCTGTGTCTAGAGGTCACTTATAGCCGATGTAGCTCCTCATGCCCAAGAGCTGATGCTCCATTCATCCTCTCAGCCTATTGCTTCATAGTCCCTAGAAGATGCTCTTAGCTTTTTCTCATCTCTTGCTTATTTCTGATACTTTTTTATTCTTGATGGACACTTGTGGTGTGAGACCACAAGTTTTTGTGTATTTCTTTCATTCACAATACTTATTGCACGCTTCATTTCAAACACAATTTCACCATGTACCTTTCACAAGCAAAGGGGAATGTTTCAGTTCCACACCTCTGTGCCAGCCTTTGTATTTAGGTTATAGGTTTGCATCAGGAGAGAAGCAGGAATTGCATTCCCCACTTCTTAGATACAGAGCTTTAAAATCATTTGCTAATGTGTTAACACTTTTTGGGTAGTCAGACAGAGAAGTTGCTTAACTGATGTGTAATAGGGTGGCATAATCATTACAATAATTGAAAGAGAAATTATTTACAATAATAAATGGGAATATAAGTAGGAGTAATGGGACTGTGAAATGGTGGGTAAGAAACTTGGCTGAATATCAAGAAGTGATATATCTTAGTGAAATAACCTACTTATTGAGATGGCAGAAACCCCATCAACTTGGCTCATTTAAAGTTACACTGGACAGAGCAGTAATGAACATCCATCCACAGGGAAGAAATGTGCAGTTATTGAGGAGCCAAGCTAATCCTGGGATTTTTCCACGTCAAGTCTGTGCGATTCTGAGTCAGGGCGGCACAGAAGGACAGGCTTTTCACAATTCCTTGTGTCCAAATATGATCATAAATTGCTTAGACGTATTTCTGTGTGCTGTCAATAACAGGGTTGCAAAATGAGTTATTAAAAAAAATGGCTTTATTTTATTTTAGCCATTTTTTCCCATGGAAGCTATGCAAAAATGTACTATGTGGCTGAGAGCGGTCCCCCATTCCCAGAGGCACTTTTCAGTAATTTATGACCTCCTAAACACAACAACCTGCAAGATGACTGTCTGTTCTTAGCCCTGAATCAGAAAAGCATATTTTAGAATATAAATATATAGAGATTTGAAATAATATTATAATCTAGTTTAATATCCCAGAGTTGAAATAATTGCAGATACCATGAGCCATGGGAATGTCTTTGTACCTCTTGTAGCTTTTCCATGGCTTCTACATGACGAGCAAACAAACTTGCTTAAATAAGTGTCTGAGCACATTTAAGATGGTATTCAGCAAAGCAGGCGAGAAACTGGGAAGCCCTAAACGTGCAGAGCTAACCTCCTAGCTGAGACTACCCAGTTTAGGTGATATCTTTATTTGAGGCAGATGTATAACTTTCCATGTAGCCACTGCTTTTCTTCTTCTTTTATCAACAGATTTCTCCAGCTTTGACATCATTTCAGATGCTACCTCCAAAGCGTGCTGAACTGAAATTGGGACATTATGATATCAAAATTAGAATATCATGCCTGCCGAGTCCCTGTGGATGCCGTGCGTCTACAGTCATTGTCTGTGCCATTAGGATGTTAACGGCGGAATGAGAAACCTGTGCTGTGATCTGAAATATGAGCTAGTTTGGATCAAACGTGCTAGTTGCAGTCCTTAAAAACCTAATATGTTAAGTAGCCGGGGTAAATAGATTAAGGAAATTAACTGAAGAAAAGTTCTGTGCAACACAGGTGGTGAAACACAAAGGTACCACCAGTGGGTCAATACATCTTTACACAACTTGTTGCTGGATAATGCAGGAGGATATCGGGATGGTACAGGAGGGCATACAATTTTATTTTTTTTTTGATATTCACCACTTATAATTTCTGGACTTCTTTTATCTGAGGCAGTACAGCCGATTTTTTGGGGGTTTTTTGGTTAAGATCATCACTGTCAACTCCATGCAGGCATGCAGCTGGGCATAAATCAGCTCTGGGAGTAGAGGAATGCAAGAGCATCCTTGGGGTGAGCAGCTTTGCATCAGATGTTGCTGAACTGCTGGGGAGGACCAGGCTGTCCCTGCCTGCTGTGCTGCTACAGGGACCCAATGGCTCACTTTGGAACGGGGGTGTTGTTGGCACGAAGCCATAGGGTGTAGACACCCTCTCAAAGCCAGTAATGATGTTTCTGTTTGAAGAACTGTTTGGAATCTGACCTTTGTCTGGTAGAAATTAATTCAGACTCAAAACCATTGCTGCTTCAAGATTAATCCATTTCCAGTCCTTTTGTTAAAAGGAGCATAAACAGCTGGAAGGAACGCACATATATTATTGGACCACTACATTAATCACTACAAGTAAACTGGTATAACGCTCTTTTGATATTCTAATGTAAAACCAAATGCAAGCTACATCCAGAAACTGAAAACTGCAGTAATTGAGCCAAATTATTTCAAAGTAGGATACTCACCATCCATCAAATGTGATAATGTGTGGATCAGTGAAAGAGTAGCAGTTCCCTGTTGGGAGGTCTTGAACTCTGACCTAGTTAAAATGAAATGTGTAATGAATACAGTCTACACAGCAGTTTTTCTTCATTACTGTTCCTCACAAAACATTAGGGGCAGGATTCATGTGTCAAGTACAAACTAAAAGCTGACTTCTAAAACATGATTGCGAATGGGTACAAAATAGGCATTGCTTTCAAACAACGGAGTTTAATCACATGCAATAAGGCAGTTCAAAGTGTTCCTATTCCACCTGATGTAATGCACTGTCTTTCTTTACCTGCTAAAAAAGCAAAGCATTTTTATGAAATATTTTGCTAAGAAGTAGATCATTCACTGAAATTATCAAGAGAGTAGAATGCTCATTAATTTTCACTAATTTTACTGCCTAAAGTATGGTGTAAGGTATGCAGTAATTAAGTAGTATTAGCATATTTTGGTAGTAATCACTGCCTGTCCCCCAGTTTGACCTTAAATTCCCTGATATGGCATATGAATGGCTGATTTATATATTTGATGTGAAGGTTATTGGTTGGGTACTGGTGATGAGGGCCCAAATCAAGCTGGATCTGTCTGCTTTCAGCATCCAAATAAAAAAGGCTCTACTCCAGTGACAGAGACCTTCAGCTGCATCAGGTCTTGGTTACCTGGGCACAAGCTGCGTCGCAGACAAGGTCTGAGAGTCTTGGCATCCTGCAAGGAACAGATATGCTTCCAAAAGCCAAAGGTAGGGAAACTCCCTCTGAAGTAGCAACGCCTGAATTATGGGCAGTGCGGGTCTGCTTTGCCACGTCTGCTCAAGATTATGTTTATTCTGCCCTCTGATTCTCAGAAATGCCAGACTGAATTGGGTAGTGATTTGTAATATGAAGAGCTCCCGGTCATACCAGTGGAGTGATGCAATATTATGGTTTTCCCATATCCAGCCTGCCAGGCTGATTCCTTGGCCAGGGCTGTTAATTCTTTGCTTGCTCTTTGCCCATGAGAAATCCAGTTAGTTCTGCCACAATCCATGGAGCGGGAAAGAAGAACGACCGCTATATCCTTGTGTGGTCTTTCAGTGACAAAGCAGAACTCAGCTTTTAGGAACAGTGGTAAAATTAAATAATTGAGTAAGAGGGTGAACTTAGAGCCACATACCCTGACAAAATTCTTCACCTGTGACAATACATCAGATGTATTTCAAAACACCCCTTAACTATCACAGGGAGACACTACTCCCACCAGTGTCTCGCATCCCAAAATATTGGAATGATGGTCTTAAGGAACCAAAAACTGAACACCTCTTTGTGTTCAAAATCAGTATTTTGAACTGAGGTCAATTGTATCACTTGCATCTACAGTGCGATATAAAGTGGTGTCTCAGAATTTTCCAATTTTTTCCACAGCTACAACCTTCCTAAGTTGCACAGAAAAATCCATGTGGCCCTTTTTGCTCTGCTTTTTTCTTGCATGACACCAGCAGAGGATGCAAGTCCTTGTTGTTGGCAGTCTTAGTCTTCTGAAGAAAATCACTTTATCAGGTGCCTGAATGTGTCAGGATATTCTGTCCAGCATTCCTATTCAGTTTTCAGATAAATCAAAAGTAATTGATCAAGTCTGAAGAACTAAAGATTATTTGGATTTTAATATATGGACTTTTTTCTTGACATGTTGCAGGAACTGTGTTACTTTAATGCCTTTAATTAACTGCAAAGCAGCAGTGGGGAAATGAGGGGGGAGAAAAGGTAATGCCTATTATATTTCCGCAGATCAAGTTTTAACTGAGATAGAATTTATTATTAAAATTGATTAATTCCATTTCACACTTGCTACATTTTCATATCTTAATGGAAGCATTTGTAACTTCAAGAAAAAATATGGCTATATGAGGGTACTACATGGAATTAGCTGCAATTTCTGATTTAAGAATCTTAAAAAGTTTAAAAGAAGCCTATGCTGGAGAGGAAAGGATATAGTCACGTGCTGGGAATTTTACCTTTGAAGACAAAAATTCTTTTGGTCCAGTTTAATCTCATTCTCTCATGATCCAATCCACAAAAATCAGGGCACTGGAATTATAGATTGCATGGGGGGTTTGTTTTTGGTTACTTAAAATATACCAGCTTGGATGTGCCACTGCTCTGAGAAATTTAGCTGAGTCAAATCCGTGTCCTGGTTTATTCTCTCGGGCAGTGGGATTATGGCTCTCAAACCTCCCAGCCGAGGCCTTGAAACAACTTCACAGACAACGGGCTGGTCCCTGCTCACACACTTCTTTCTAGGCAGAGAAAGCATGGCTTGCCTTCCTGATTGATTCGTATTACTTTCATTTTGGACATTTTGTACAGGGATAAATGAAGAGATGGAGCAGGGGTGTGTGTCGTTGGAGGTGTCCCAGTGATTCCTGGCACAGTCACAAATTGATCACGGTGCTGCTGAGTCCTGGTCCTTTCTCATTACAGAGGCACTCTCTTTCCTCTGTTTCTTTCAGAGGCTGTTCTCCAAAACCTTGGTTTTCCCTCTCCCCCTTTTCAAAAAGATGCTAATTCCCCAACCCAGGTTCTCCTTCTCCTCTTCTAGCACACACAAGCATGCCTGGTTACATCTATAATCCAGCTGTTGGCCGTACCAATGCATTAACTAATAATTAAACCTAAGTTTGTTACAGCAAAAAGCTTCACTTGTTAATTTTCTTGGCATATAAAGAGGTTGTTTTGGTTAACTCTGCTGACAGCAGTACCCAAATATTTATATGGCTAACATTTATAATTGTTCTCTGCAATACAAACCCTCTCATTTAAATTTGACACTTTTTCCAAGTTATTTTAGGACCCGACCTTCACATCCTTTGGTGTGTAAGACCTCCAAAGCAAATCTGTCCATCCGACTGGCTCAGCTCGGATGCGGCTGATGCGGTTCCCGTCCTGAGCGAAGTCTGTCACGGCTGTCACTGTCAGTGCAGCTGCTGCACAGCTGCTTTCCGAGCAGGGTGACCGCAGCAGATCCACCTGGCATGCCGAAAGGGCGATGTCTGGGGGCCCCAGTAATTGGCTATCTAAAATGAACATGAAGACTGAGTCTGAAAAGAGTTATCCAAACAGTTGCCCGTGCCCTGTTTACCATCCAACACAGATGTTTCACATTCCTGGATACACATGCTTTGAAACCAGATGGGTTTTGCAGGAAGGCAGTTGTGACTGACTCAATCTGGCATCTCTCTGCACATTTTAGTCTGCTTCCCACGCCCCTACCCTGAAGTAGATGGTTTGCTAAAACTCAGTGGTGCTTTTCTTTCCACAGGTGCTAATGTTTCTGGAATGACAGTCTTATCTTTATGGGTCCATGCCCAGAGAAAGAAGACAAGCAGTTTTCATGACAAAGGAAGAGATGAGCCTGTGTTTCTGGAAAACATTTATCTTTCACTAGCTTTATTATAAGGAGGTATCTGTTGGGAGTTATTTAATTTAAAATAAACAGAATTTTTGACCTGGAATAGAAGGGTTCTCAAGCCGGTTTTTAGTGAACTTTGGATCCATGACAGAAGGCAAATGTAGCAGATTTGTATTTGTATTTTTGGCTTAGCTAAGTTATGGTTTAAGATCTATGATCTTAACTTTCCAATCTGTAAAAGGATGGTAGTTTTATTTCTATCTTTCATAGAGGCATTGCGAGGATTAATTCACTAGAAGAATGTTGAAAAATAATGAGCTACGGTGGTACTGGCTATGTGAGTATCTGTGATGGGTAGGGAAGTGATGGGTGGTGACAAAATCAGTATGGCAATGGCAACCCAAGGCATTCATTCAGATGTGCCTCAGCACATCGTATTTTTCCTAAAGGAACCTCTTCTAGCAGCAAGACTGGTAGTGTCCATCTCTCCTGCGTCCTGACCACTCATGCTGAGGTCTCAGGTAAAGGCCAGCCCTGGATTTTTCTTTCTGTAGATGTGTTTTTTTATTTACAAACACTGAATTATGATAACATTTTTTTCTCAGCCACCTGGTCTGCATTTTACATAGTCTGTATCTGCTCCTCAAGAAGTCACCCAACCCTTCATGAATCCTTTGGTGGGTAAAAAGGGAAATCATGGCCCTACTGAAGCCAGTCAGAATCTCCCTGCTGACTTCAGGACCTCCAGAGTTTGTGCCGAGTATTTAGTTTTCTGTCCTGGATCATTAACTGCGAGCTGATAAGAACAAAGTTCTAGAAATGATGGCAATGTAATTAATCTGATATGAAAATAAGTGATTTTCATATCAGATTTCCCATTTGTAGAATTGGTTAATAATTTATAAGAGATGGCATTCAAGAATTTCAAGATGGCATTTTCTAACATGATGAAATAACCAGTGTTGTATTCCTTATGGAAAAGAGTCATAAAATAGAATTTAAATTAACCCTGTAGAGTTCTATAGGAACTGAACTAAAAGCCTACAAAAATTAATAACATATTATCTCTCATATAAAATCCTTAAAGGCTGCCTCACATCTTCTAGAAAAGTCCTGGCTCATTTTCAGGGTTCTGGTATCAATTAAATTGGAGGTTTCCGTGAGGAATAGTTATTGCCATTACAGCCCCATGAGCTGTGCTCACAACCCAGAACAAAAGTTTAAAATCAAAGAAAATCATCTTGTCAAAATAGTAATGATAAACTTAACAGAAGCTGAACTCCAGTGGCTCTGCTGTGCCTTGGCATTCATTATGATATTGTCTGAACTTAGAGAGATATTTCTGTGCTTGTAATTAGCTTTCTTATCACTTATTCCCTACATAATTAGCACAACAGTGCTGTTATATGGATTTAGTCAGACAAGGAGCTTGTCAGTTAATTTATTCAGTATAAGTAAATCTCAGCTAAATATGTTTCTATTTTCAATTTATAGCATGGTGGCCGACATTTTTCAGAAGCCCACAGTGTTCCTTTGGATAAACTAATGGATCCTAAAGACAATAAAGACAAAAAACTAACGTGCTGTTATGCAAACACCCACAGCAGATACTCAGCCTTAAGTATATCCAAATATCTCAATTGATCATAAATGGTCCAAGTGTCATCCAAGGAAATAGCCTCAGCATGGAGCAATCAAGGGCTAGAGCTGGTTGCTAGTTTAAGCGGCAGAAATGAGTTGATTATAACTAACAAAAATCTTCCATTTCACTGGCAAGTTCCCCTAAAGATTAGTTAGCTGGTTGAGTTGTGTCTCCATCCTGGGACCTCTTGGCACCATCATGTCAAGCCCACTGACAGCTTGAAAATAAGGCTGCTTCTTACAATCTTGGCTCCCATGTTTCTTCCAGTCAAATGCATGTTGTGGGGTTGGAGAAGACCCTGTCAAGAGGTCAGCCTCGGCCTAATCTGTCAAACCCAGCCTCCCCTGCTTGAGAGCTCCTGGACTATGCATTCATTCTCATTGAGATGTTGAAAGGCTTTATCAATGCCTAAGAAAACGGGAGTTAAAAATTTACCTTGGTAGGTTATGTGACTAATTCTCATTTGATCCTCATAAACGACAAGTGTCTAAGATGCTTAAAGGCTATGGGGATGTCACACCACACGCCAGCCTGTGTTCTTAGCTACCTCAATATCTAAGAAAATATGTTCCCATGAGCTCAGCGGATGTTTGCCTGATGGACTGGCAGAGACTGTAAGCCAAGAGCAATATGTAGAACAGAGCAGCACTGAGCCATGGAGAAATGCAAAGTACTCCACATACCAGAGCCAACACAGCTGCTGGAACCATAAGGTGCCGTTCAGTTTAAGATCACTCTGTTATGATACCATTTGAATTATTTTTTTCTTCTGTCTAAGCACTTGGCTGATGATGGAGAGAGAAAGGAGAGGGATTTAGAAAGGGAAAAATATCAGGGTTTTGCCAACATTTTTTTCTTGTTTTTAGCAGGTTTTTTATGGGTAGAGAAACTGTGGCTGCAATCCTAACTCTAAATATTTTCTCTGAGTCACCTATGGTAGAGAAATAAATGCCTTGTTAGAAAAAGGGTTGGGTGTTCTATCTAGTGCAAATGGAAAGTAAATACACATATGTGCCCCCCTTGGTTAGGCATGATATTCCAACACATTAACCTGAGAAAAGCTTTTACTGATAAAAGGTCAAAAGAATTTTTAAAATAACATTATCAATGTTTTCAAGTAAAAAAAAAAAAAACAAACCACAAAACAAAAAAAGCAACCTTTAGAAAGAGAATAATATATAAGCATAAGAATGGGGTTTTTTCTTCTGTATTAAGTTAGACAAAAGCTGTGAGCCAGCAAGAGAAAGAAAAAAAGTCTTCAGTACACATTTACTGAATAATAAATCTTCAGGTGAGCTTCTTATTGATAATTAATGAAATTATTCTACCTAAGACGATTGCTGCTACAAAAAACTTAAAATGGAATTTTATATTCCTGGAATTTAAAGTAAGTTCTTCTACTCATAGTTATTTCATCCATAAATCTCAATGGACTACCATTCAGGATGTTGCTAGTCAGAATTTTTAATTTTTTTCTGAAAAACCTTAGTGATATTATCATCTAGTTTCTATTGCAAGCAAATATATGGCCTAGTTTGTTGATTTTATGCTGTCCTTTGTTGTCTTGTAAGTCTCACAATTTCTGTTGGAATTCATTGTAACATAAATAAATAATCACATTGATTTGATGACGATATATAAAACTCTTACCCAAATCCTCAGTACTTAGCTGTAGAGTAATTTTACAGGAATCATCATGCCCAGGACAGGCAATGGGTACAGTACTCAGAATGGTCAAAACATGCTCTTTGCCATCCTCTGCAATTTGTAACGATTCTGGTAAAAACTGGAAATAAGAAAATAGTTTTTAGATCATTTTGACAGATTAGTTAGGCAATACTGATATTTATGAAACTGAGTGTTTTTAATCAATTATTAAAAGATATAATTGCTTGTAAAATAATAATCATCTTCATAATAATCCTCATCATATTCTTTGTAATAATGTTCTTTAACTCTTTAAGGTGGAATTGTTGTTAAAATAACAACCTTGGCAATTAAGAAAATGTTTGCAGTTGTCATATATAACGTCTAATTGCTTCTCATCTCCTAATTTCAAAACACGTTTTTATGAAGCCTGAAAATAGTATGATACCATGGAATTTATGAATTTTTAATATCCCTGGTTAAAAGAGCTCCTATTCCAATGCACCAGGAGAAATACCAACAATATTCATGGCCTAAAGTATGGCATTACCTCATGGTCACGGACTCCATGCTTGTGCTCTGCCCCAGGTGCAAAGTGCATTTTTTGCCCGATTCCTCTTTCCTGCTGTAGCAGGAAGAAGGATTTCTCTGCGCATAATGTATTACAGTTTCGGCGGGTTGTGCGCCAGGGAGAGAGCTCAGGTTATGCCATTCCTGCCTGTTCTCCTAGGGCAAGATGAGAAGCAGCACTCGGGCATAGTCAGAAATGGGAATTTCCGTTCCCCGGGAAATTTTGACATTTCCAAAAAAACCCAAAACTGTTCTTCAAACATCACACAGAATGAGCTGCCAGATTTTTCAAACACCATTCGTGGAGGCAGGAAGCTTAGATACTCAGATGATCTCCAATTCTCCTGGACTGCCAGACTGAAAGGCTAATCCTCGAGTAGGATAAAACCTGTTCTTTGCATTCAGCATGAATTTGACTTCAGCAATTTGGTTTTTGTAGTGACTGACCATAAGAAGATGATGGATAAAAATTAATTTTGGTCCTCACTTTGTTCTGGTTTAGTTACAACAAAATTCTGCATCTTTGTAGGTGTGTCTTCCCATTATGCATAACCACCAGAGTACTTGGGGGTGTATTTACTGGAAGATGTAGCTTTGCACATTCTTTATGGTGCATTAGTGCTAACACCTGCACACGGTGATGATGGGTGCTTTAGGGGTGTTTTACAAACAGACTGAAAGCCATATAATTTATTAAGACATTTTCTCAAAGTGAACATAAAAGCAGCACTGGTTATGATGATCAAGGCTTATGTTTTTGTGTCTTGTTTTTCAAAGCATGTCAGATAATGTATAAATATTCCCCAGGGATATGCCAAGTCAGTAAATCAGGGCCATCAGCATTACCTTAATCCCAGCATAGAAACCCTTGCTCTCTTCAGGCAACGACTGCTGCTCACGAGTGTCCCTCGTAAAAGTGGTGACAGCGCAAAAGACCTGTAATAAATAAACAGCATATTCTATAGCTTTTCTTGAACAAAATTCATATAATTATGCATCTTTCTGATGATTAGAGTTGATAAGCTTTATTTTCTACTGTTGCAACATATTTTGGTGTTTATGCTTTAAAAATGTTTATGCAGAAATCTTGGATTTGGAAGAATTTTTAATACATTTAATAGGCAAAGAAACATGGCTTCTGTCTCAAAAATTAATAATGCTGAACGCTTACAGTGTGTTTTCTTCTGCAGTTTATCAAGCACCTTGGTTAGCAATATTAACTCATTTTAATTAGAGAGAATGACATTGTTCATAAACATTACTGTCCGGATTTAGGTCAATAGCCCTTGGGATCCCAGACTTCAGTCTGTCCACTGGATCAAATATTCTCCCTCTCTACCATGTTGGTAAGCAGTTTTTTTCATTTAAATTAGTTTGACAGTCATCCAGTCTCAGGAAATGTGTCAGCAATGTACGATTTTTTTTTTAATTATTACTATTTCTTTATAAAAGATGATGCAGGTGTGCCTACAAGTTTTATACTGTAAAAAAAAAAAAATCCCCCAAAACAAAACAAAAAACACCCCACCAAACACAATGTACCAGGCCATTTATGTTTTATTCCTAGCACAGTCACGCAACCTTTATCTCTGCTGAGCCCGCACGCCATCTGCCATCTCAATGTTTCATTGGTTTCAGAAAGCCCAAACTGCTAACATCATTTCTAGGATCATAAGATTAAACTACAGAAATTTTCCTTAAAGCAAATGACAATAGGCTCTGAAACTGTACTTCTGAATTTTTTTGGTTTGTTTTGTTTCTTCTTGGAAATAGAGTAACAGATTGTGACATACTAAATCAATTCCAAATAGTCAGATGGCATATTTATAGTTACTGCCTTTTTTAAGCCTCGAGTAACCCATGAGGAGGAAGTGGACCAATCTAATTTATTTTCCATTGTGATAAACTCCTTTGGATGGATTTTCCAGCATTACTGACCAGCCGTGCTGCCCTCAGTACCTCTCACCTTCCAGCTCAGGCACCATCCTCATGACCAGTAGCAATGAAACAGGCTCCAACCCAAGATATTCCCAAACTGACACGGTCATATGGGCATGAGTTGCATAGCACTCTGGAATATTTCTTTGAGCACCCTAAAAATCCCTCTTCATTGCCATGCGGTCATGAATTTCATCCAGACTGAAGAATCCTCTTTCCCAGCACACGACACAAATGTCGCACCAGCAACACAGCATCGTTTGTAAGGCTATGGGGAAAATCAAGTGTTTTCTGTGCCCTGCAAGTGGATCATTCCCAGTCCAGGTCCATTCAAGATTCATGTGCTTGTTGGGCTGTGCTCACCTTCATAAGATTTCTCACTCTTGCTGACAACTTCAGCCCATTTGCCCAATGAAAATGGTGTTACTTGTTCCATTAACTAGATGGAAGCCTTGCCGTCGTACTGGGTGTGCTGGGGAATAAAAAGACACACACCTCACAGGGATTCTTTACAGTTAAAATTCCTCAGACACTTCGTAGTTAGCCAGTTTGCCTCATCATCTCAAGGTAATAGTGCCCTGTTATCATTAGATATTTATTGTCTCCAAGCATTCCCTAAAGGCTCATGTTCAGCTTACAAAGTTTTCAAAAAAGTTCTTCTGCTGGGAAAGCAGAAGGCAAGTGTTGATCTTCCTGCTGCTGCTTCTCTTACAGATGCCATGGGTAGAGCCTGCAAAATCGGGATCTGACAAGGTGGTGACACCAGAGAAAGAGTTCACATAACCTATATTCCCCCTAGTTAGAAAAAAAACCTAACCCAACGATCCCCTTGCAGGGGAGCTCATTGAGCAAATCCCATGCACCTGCATTGCAGATACTCAATTTACACTGCGTGGGCTGTTTGCACTTTTGGCTTTGATGCTTTTTACCAAAATATTCACAGGTAGACAGCCCCCTGAGCACACCATGCAGAACGTTCCTGCCAAAGAGGGAGCTGTAATGAGAGGCAGCAGGGCTGCATGCGAGATTGCCCGGCGCCGACAGAGGCATCTCCTTGTGATCTTCCCCAAAGTGACATTCTGGGAAATGTCAGACCCAACTTCATTCCCTACAAGCATTGTATTTTCTCACATATATATTTTAGAGGTATATTTTATTGATAAAGCACTGAACACTAAAATAAAAAATTACTCTGTAACAAGTATCTCAGTACACTGAGGTATTCTTAGACTATCAGTCCGTTCCAGTTCTATCTTCAGCACTTTTGGAGATTAACACAAACTTTGCAAATTCAAAATGTACGGACAGCAGTCATGAGTTACATTTTATTTCTGTCTTTTATATCATTCCTTCCCTTGTAGTGCCTTTACCTTGTTAGGTGCACACCACTTCACAATCAGCAGCTGTGTTCATCGGCTACTGAGCTACAGGTTGACAGTTTGTCACATAATTATTATGATAGTCACTCTGAGGCAGGTGTTTTTTTTTGCCTTCAGCTAAATACAAGCTCTTTTTCTCCAGTTCAGTAATCAGCTTTTTTTTCTTTATATTCTTCTTCCTGTCCCTCCCCCATCTCAGGATGCAGCCTTTTTAAAGCAGAGATAAAAGCATCACTGACAGCAGTACGCTGATGGCCGTGACAGGTTAGGCAGTACTTTTCAACAGACTCATTGAATCTGTTAAAAAAATCAACTTATAATTTTCCATCATCCCTTTTAAAGAGACAGAAATGTAAGGGTGCTCTCAGGTAGGATGACTGGACTGCTTCTGGGTATGGGCTGCTCCCATTGCCCTGTGTGCCAGCAGATCTTCCCATTGGGTGGAAAACTACTTTTATGCTCAAAATTTTGATACAAAAAAGCCCTAGTAGCTAAGAATTTTCTCCTTTCCTGTGTGTTGGAGCAGTTTTCCACCCTTACGTGGACTCAATCAGATTCCTTCCCGCTTTGCCGTAAACCTATGAGCAGCGATTTTAGCTAAACGCAGAATTTTGTGATTAATTTGGTTGGGGTCAAGTAGTTCTGTGAAAAAATTTGAGAGACTATTTTAATATTAGGACCTGTTACTATTTTCAGAAATTTTCCTCCTAACAACTTGCACATCAAAATATTGTGGGTTTTTTGGGTTTGAGTCTGGGGTTTTTTTGGGGTTTTTTGGTGGGGTTTTTTTGTTTGTTTGTTTTTACTGGGGTATCAGAATCCAAAGATCCCCCAAATCAGTTGTTTATACTCCTTTTGAAGATAAACCTGCCTCCAGTTTCCCCCTTTTCATGCCTGTAATTACTTCTGGATGTATCACAGGGATCACCTGTGGCAGCTTGAGCATGTAGTGAGAGATGTGGAGCCAAGGGCAGAGACACAAAACCTCAACGAACGTTTCATCCACATTTGCTTCCATCTTCAAAGGTACCGCGCTTGGAGGATGGGGGGCACAGAGGGGGATGCTTGTCAGCACGTCCAGGATGGCCATGCTTCCAATTTCATCAGCCTCTCCCAGCCGTGCTCAGATAAAAGGTTGGGTTCCCAAGAGCAAAACAGGAGATATTTTTTTTGTGTTGAAAACACATCCCTGCACTTCAGTCAGGTACCTCTGAAGGCTCCAAGGTTTGTCAAGCAATTCTGGGAGCTCTTAGAAAGGCCAAACTCAGCTGTAAGGCTTTCTGGTAGAAATGCTGCCACCACTCATCTGAACAGCGTGTCAGTGGCAACAGCACTTTTCCTCAAAAGAGGGAGAGCTAGCAGATGGGATTACTGGGTTGGGGTCTGCCCATCAGGACTGCTCATGTTTTCTACTGAAATAGACACCAGGGAAGACAGACAAATGCAAATGCTGGTCCCTGGCTGCAGTCCCTGCTTCCGCTCTGAGTGCAGCCTATGCCCTGGGGATGGGATGCTCCCTTCGGAAGGGCAGCACATGCATCTAACTCACAGCTGGAAGGACTATACCTGTATCCAATCTCTCTGGCAAGGACTTGAGCTGTATTGTAGTGCCAGAGGCCTCACAATGACAACGGCAGTGCTTTAAAGTTGAAATACCGACTTTTACTTATCTTTCAAAGACTACATACAGCCAGGTAGAGTAGGACTTGAAGGTCTGAATTAAAGAGCAGGTGGAGGCACTTCCCTGACCCAAGCATCCAATTTCCTGGGAGGTTTGGGAATTCAGGGATGCTGCTCTGTCAGTAATTTATGCTGGCCACCTTGGGAATCTCCCTTCTCAACATAAGGTACCATCTAGGGATACCCACCTCTTCCCATGCCCTGGGCAGGGAAGTCTACATGCTGCTGGTAAGGTGCAGGAGCCTCAGCTGTCGGTGGTTCACAACTCCAGGATAGGATCTATCCTCCTAGCTACATCACCCATGTCAAAAGGCAGGCTGGGGCTGCAAGGGTAAGAGTCGCTCCACCGCACGCAGGGTGTGCAGGTGAGGGTTGGGCAGGGAATCGATCGTGCCAGGTGACAGGGTGCCTGGAGATGGCTGTGAAGGCCTCTGAGCTGCCATCGTCTGCTCGATTAAACACTAATGGGCTGGCGTTAGAAAAGCCTCCAGGAGTGGCTCTGCTGGGAGCTGGGGAGTGTGGGAGGGAGCCGTGGTTTGCAGCCTTGGTGAAAAGAGCAAAGGATGAGCAGAGCTGAAGGGTGGAATTTCTAGGGAAGCCAGTGGGACAAAAGAGTTCTCATTAGCTCGAAGAAATAATCTGGCTGCAGGTATTTGAGGAAAGGGGTGGGAACAAAGCCTCTGGAAAGGCTTTCCAGAAGGGTTAGCAGGAAGGGGAAAGCAGGGAGAATCTGACTTTAATTAATAAACTAGACCTTAAAGCTTTTGAACACAAATTGCTCCCTGTGACGGGCTGTTAGCTGCAGAGGGGAGGGAACCGGTGTGGCAGCGTGACCCGATGCTGCGGGAAGTCCAGCCTTGGCTGCTCACTGTGTAGAAAGAAGGAAGCTCCTTGCACTTTCCAAACTGACAAACAGTATGTGGAGGCTGACTGTAGGTCATTCGTCTGCTAGGGAAGGAAATTTTCTCAGCGTAGTAGCAAGGTGTCTCATCATCTCTCTGCCCCTTTGTGCTTTCAAATCTCTGCACAAGTCCACCCAGAGCTCTGTTTCTGAGGGGATGCTCCTTGCTTTCTACCTGACGGTTGTCAACTCAGGTGTGACACAAATAGGCAGCTCTCCCTACTCCTGTTGTTGACTTCCTCAAGTCTAGTGGTTGGGATGGGATTTGTATTTAAGCAGAGGGAAATTTCACTTATCTTCCTTTGTGAGTGAAGATTAGTTATTTCATATATTGAGGCCCTAAATTACAGTTTTTTAGGCTGCAGCATTTCCTTCTGCTCTTTCAGAGTGCCATGTGCTGTTGAAGCAACTTGCAGTCCACAGCTCAGAGAGGCCTGTTTTACTTAAACATTTTTATTTTACAACGTGCACCATAGTTCATGTATGGTGACAATTGCTCCTCACCGTATGAACTTTTGGATTGCTGTGCTGAGCAAAATCTGCACGGTTTTCTTCTGAACACCTTTCTTTCTTAGCATAACTCATTACTCACAGTGTGCCACTATAATTTATAGATGGCTGTGCCTCGAGGAATGAAATGACCTCTGTCACTGTCGCATAAATAATGCTTAGGGATGCCAGGATTTTCATATCAGATGGAGTAGGCTTCTTTCAGCGTTTATATAGAAATAGTGGTATGTTATAGATTTATTTAAGACTGCAATGGTTTTGTGAACATTATGCTGCCAACATTACTGTCTGAAAGAAGAAAATGGGAGCCCAAAGATGGGGGAGAAAAGCACATATGATGGCTATTAAAAAATACATGGCTGTTTAGTCAATACAGGTTCAGAACTGTTGGCTGGTAAATCTCAACTCTTCTCTACTGTTTGACTGCATATTAAAATCTATCAATAGATATTCTATTATGTGACTAACCTATTAGCTGGAGACTTTCTGATGGATGAAAGATAACGTAGATATCAATCACCTAAAAGTTGATTAAAAAAAAATTGGCTGTAGTTTTTTATTAAGAAATGAAAGGAGAAGATGTTGATTTCAGGCTATAAAAGCATTGAGGCCAAGTTCAGGCTTCGTGCAGGTAGACAATGAACAGGTTCAACAAAAGCAAGCAGTTTGCAAAATGCTGCGAATTCTGCATCCTGGAGGAAAGTTCTGCTGTGAATGCCACCCACGTGGATGCTCCTGCTGGTCTGTGCATGAAGAAGGGGAAAGAGAACTGGAAAGTACCCCCAGTTCATTGTCTCCTCCCTAATATGGCTTTTATCAGTGGGGATCTGGCCTTCATCTAAAGCTGCTTGAGAAAAAAATCCTTCCACCTGCATCTTTCCTGGGTGAGTAGACGGTTATGAACTACATCTCTGCAGCTGAGTTGTCTCCCTGGGGTCTGATTCTCCCTTTAGTAGCACCACCTTATCTTTGGGGTAGCACTACTAGCAGTTATTCAGTAACTTCAGGTTTACACCACTGGAGGTGAGAGTCTACACGTTTGTGACTCCTATTATACACCCGGAGTGGGATGGCAAAATGCTTTTTATAACCTTTATTATGTAAAACTGAATTCCCTGTTATAGCAGAGGCTTCATTGCTTGGTTTTCACCAGTGATGATTTATGGATAATTATAATTAGGCAAATAGGCCATGAAGACCTTTACAAAAATCTAGCAAGGAACGAACATTTTAGTCTCGCTAAACCTGCCAAATTAAACGTGGGTTTCAGTAGAGGACAAAGAAGGGCTTACTGAAAACTTAATATAATAATAATGGTCTTCTAAAGATTTAGTGATGCTACTAGTTAACAGAACTATGTTTTCTCTGAATCCTTCAGGATTGTTAAAACTAGATTTGAAGTGATAGCAAGTGAAAGTATTTTGATGAAACTATCTCTTTGTAACACAAACTTGTCTTAAACCGGCAGAATTGTCTACCTCATATTATAATGTGAGGGCAGCGTCAGATTTTGAACTCAGGAAGCATAATTATGAGGAGAAATGAGGAAAAAAAAAAGCTGTCTAGATTGGGCTACTGTTATAAATTACTCATCCTTTCAAGAACTGGAAAAAGCTTATTCACATTTCTTAAATATCTTAAATATCTCAAAGAAGAGCTGCAAAATGCCAAGACTATTTCCAACCTCCTTTTAACACAAGGCCATTATCCTTGTTTATTCTTTCAGTTCTTTGTAGCATCACTAATGGCTCTCTGCCTATAAAAGTTATGAACCTATTTTAACTTTAAAAGTCTTGTTTCTGTACCATGAAAAGCCATGAATTCATACACAAGTCAATTTTTTTCACATCTTGTATTGGCTTCTGTTTCATTGTTGTTGTTGAAACTAGATCTGTGTTGCTATGTAAGCTATCAAATACACTTCTTAAAGATTGTTTTGTAATGAACTCTATCTTTCAGTATGCTATTGAACCAAGAGTTTGGAATCAGAGAGGCAGAACACCATGAAAAAGACCGTAAAATAAACCTCCCTCTATTTTAAAATATGTCGTCTTTCTTTTCTTTGAAAAGATGTTATTGTGTCTCTGGTCCATGAGTATAAAAATTACTGAGTGCATATAGCTGTGCCTGCCTCTACTGCAAATTCTCATTGCTGCGAGATACAAAAAACACCAAGCAAAAATTGGATCAGGCACATGTACCTGCTCCTCATACCAACTTCATGGCAGTGAAGCTGTAATGTAAGTATTCAAGTTGCTTTAGAAAATAATGGATAGCTTCTGCAAACCCACTGCAATTCAAAGAAATGTTACAGGTCCTGAATCTGGTAAATGCTATTTAATAATGCAGTTGTGAAACTGTTTCAGTATTTTTTTCTGCGGTAGTAGTGAGTATAATGAGCGAGGAGCATCACTAATGAAAACACAACAAAGACTTAGGAAAAGGATTTGATCCCCCTGAGTGTTTGAACTCCTTCGTTGATGGCAGGGTGGCATTACCGTGTCTCCCAGTTTGAGATTTATGCCGTTCATCTCGACGTAGGAAAATGACTGCAGGGTGGTCTCACGCCGAATCTGCTCCTTCTTGCCAGAGGTGGAGAGGCGTGACCAGACCACTGTGTACTGCAGGGGCAGCTTTGAGGAGGGGCGGCGGTAGGTGCACTTCAGATGGACACCACCTTCCACAAGCTCAGGAGTTATCACCGGTTACAACGCCAGGCTTGTTAGTTTTTCTGGAAGAAGAGAATACAAGAGGGATGTAGCACAAAATGGTTTTTTTTTTAATGTTACAATTGTTTACTCAACAAGAAGATTTCAGTATAACTAAACATGGGAGAAATGCTATGTTTTATATGCTTGTGATTTCATTATTAACTATGCATGGAAGAAAATGTAATCCATATAAAATACACAAATTGTTAAATGTCTGCTGACTACCCATTGTTGTCATCTTTTACTTTTTTATGTTTATTTGGTGGTGGGTTTTTTTTTAATTTTCAT